AACCACATAGCTCCTTTAAGATCTTGCTTAGAAATCTTATCATCCAGATATCCAATTTCATCACTTACAAGTGATATTCTACGAAACATTTGACATAATTCAGAGAAGTTCTTTGCCACCGAGTATAAAGCATCACCTTTTCTCTATTGTCCAATCACATGTTCATCATATTCTTTTAAACCAGAAGCACATATAATTCCCATATTTCTAGCAACATTCTGTTGCTGGCACCATATGCATTCTCTAAGATGATGGAAACTTTGTCTATAGGTCTCTCACTTCCTTCTGAGCCCTTGCCAGAATTGCCTTTGAAATCCATAATTCTACCAACAGTCTCCTCAAGGCAATCTATATTAAACATTTTAAATATTCCAGCCTCTACTCAATTCTAGCCTCTTACTCAAGTCCAAAACCACCCCACATTTTAGTTATCTGTTAAAGCAGGATGCCCACTTCTTGGTATTGAATTCTGTCTTGTTGAGTGCTGCTATAACAAAAATACCACTAGTGGGTGGTTTTAACAAACAGAAATGTATTTTCTTACAGTTTAGGAGGCTAGAAGTCCAAATTCAGGATACCAGCTCTAGGGAAAGACTTTCTGTCTCTGTAGGCTCTGGAAGAAGGTCCTTGTCTCTTTTAGATTCTTCTCTTGGGCAATCTTCATGTGACTTGGCATCTTTCTTCCCTTATGTCTAGTTGCTTTTTAATATCTTTTATATCTCAAAAGAAACTGACTCAAAAGCACCCTACACTAATCCTGTATTATTAACATAATAAAGGCAACCCATTCCCAAATGGGATTATAACCATGGGCTAAAGGTTAGAATTTACAACACATATTTTTTTTGGTGGAGGCGGGGCATGATCAAATCCATAGCACCATTTGATTCTGCCAATCTTACTATACTCTTGGGTTCCCATTACAGAAGGAAACATTTTTTTCATTAAACTTCAATTAACTATCAGTGTATTTCAAGAAAATTTGAGGGCTGCCATGGGAAATGCCCAACATGCACCCTGAAATGAGGCATGGTGTTTTAGTTACACCCTGAAATGAGGCATGGTGTTTTAGTTACTTAGTGCCACTCTGACAGGAATATACCACAAATGGGATAGCTCTAACAAAAAGGGATTTATTCTCTTACAACTCTGGAAGCTTGAAGTCCGAGTTCAAAGTGCCAGGCTGAGGAGCTGGTTGAAAGCTCCTCGACCTTAGGCTTTAGCTCTGCCTCTTGCTCCCGGCCCACTGAAGCTAGAGGCATCTTTACTCAGGGAGCTCCTGGCTGCTGAGGCTGACAAACTCAAGGTTGACAAGTGAAATGGCACAGTCCCAATATTACCAAACCACATGGTGGGGCATTGATTTATATCCATTGAAAGGCCCAAGATCAGCACAGCATGGCAGTCTACTGAATGAAGACTCAGCTACATCTAGGGTCCAAGAGTGCCAAAAAGCTTGAGACCATTCTCAAAGTTGCTTCTTATATACTGGAAGCAGCCCACATTCCTAAAGTAGCAACTTAGCTGCTCCAGTAGATTTCACCATGGAGTTAATTACCAATCTCATCATGGAATAACTACATCCAGCTGCCCAGCCACTCAACCAGGCCCAGCCAAGTTGACACAAATGCTTAACTACCACACATGGTAATTCAATACTTCTTTGGAAAGAGTTGAAGATCCCCTGACACTAAACTTGAGGATGTGGGGGAGGGTAGAGCTGAGGGTTGGCAGTGCTTAGGAGGCTGTTAAATAAGAAAGGAAGTAATGAGCAACTGCTAGTCTGAAACATGTGATCTGAGCCTATACCTTAAAACGGACTCCTGGATGTATTTTCCCATCAGAACATGGATACAATGCTAGGACTTGGCACCAAATAAATTGCACATATGACCAATCATATTCTAAGAACCAAGATATATGGGGAAAAAAAAGAAAACTTCATAACAAAAATACTAAGCACTTCTTCACATCATGGGTTATAAAGCTAGGTGCATCTTTGTCATCATCTAGTCCCATGTTTGCTGTGTATGACTTTGTGTATTCTTTGTTGTGTATGACTGTCCCACACACTGCAAAACATTTAACATTCTTGTTCCTTCCCTTAGCAAGTACCACTAATACCCTCTAAGTTATTACAGTAACAAAAAACACTGGTGCAGATTTGCAAACTCCGAGGGAATTCATATTGGCCCAACTGAGAACCATTGATCTAGTTCAATCTACCTACCCATTTTGTAGAAGAAGAAAATAAGGTGAGAGAAATTGTGACATTTTTCAGTATTGACTAGCAGCAAAATGGTAGTGAGAACCCAAGTGTTCTCTGATATAAAGCATTTAGTATAACATCTATAATTTCTTATGCTCCTGTATGCAATGGGTAACTCTTTTGGTTCTCTAGTGCTTCTATAACAGACATACCATAAATGGAGATGGTTTTAACAAATAGGGATTCATTTTCTTACAGTACAGGAGGCTAAAAGTCTGAGTTCAAAATGCCAGCTCTAGGGGCTGTGTGAAGACCCCTCGACCTTGGGCTTCAGATCTGCCTCTTGCTCCTGACCCAATGAAGCTAGAGGCTTTTCTCAACTCAGATAGCTGCTGGCTGCTGAGGCTGACAAACCCAAGCTTGAAAAAATGACACAGTCCCAGAATTATCATGAAACATGGCAGGCCACTAGTTAAACAGTTCCCAGATCAGCAGACAACATGGCAGACCACTTATGACTTGGCCAAATGCAGGATCCAGATGAACCAAGAAGCTCGAGACCTTTTTCAAAGTATCTTCTTATATACTGGAAGCAGACCACCTCCCTCGGGCAGCTACTCAGCTGCTCCAGTAGATCCTACCATGGAGTTGATTACCAGTTTAATCATGCAAAATTACTATATCCAGCTGCCCAGCCACTCAAAACCAGGCCCAGCCCAGTTGACACACACCCTTAACTACTACAGTAATTGAGCCAGGCCTTAGGTCTCCTGACCCAGTTAGTAATTAGTGGGGTATGGTATTTGATAATATATGAGATTCTTCTTATCCTCAAATTTCTTGTTATAATATCTACTCCAGTTCTACTTCTTACAGACCAAAGCTGACCTTGGTTGATAAGGGAAAAGAAGAGGTAAGAATGAGGATAAAACAGCAACATTCTACAACATGGTGTTTCATAGCAAGAGCCCTTGGAGGCTTAAAAATAAAAGTACCACCAAAACCAAAATGAAACTCACTGTCATTGCATCGATTCTGACTCATAGTGACCCCCTTTGGGTTTCTGAGATTGTAAATCTTTATGGAAGTAGACTGCCCAGTCTTCCTTCTGTGGAGTGGCTGGTGGATTTGAACTGCCAACCTTCTGGTTAGCAGTCAATCAATTGCCTTAGGCAATACACCACCAGAGCTCCTTAAAAGCACCACAGTAATTTAAAAAGTCACTTTATCATTCCTTTTTCCTCGTTTCCATGGATCACTGGTAACAGAGCAACCCAGACTATGTCACCAAAACAAAACCAAACTCACTGCCATTGAGTCGGGTTCGACTCATAATGAACCCTCCTTGTGTTTCCAAGGAGGTATCTCTATGGAAGTAGATTGCCCAATCTTCCTTCCAAGGGGTGGCTGGTGGGTTTGAACTGCCAGGCTTCTGGTTAGCAGTCAAATGCCTTAGGCACTACACCACCAGGCTCCAGACAATTGTTATAAATGGTGGAATATATGAGAAGAAAATGAGGCTCAGTTTATTTTCCACACTGCTGAGATCCTAGACTTACTTATGTCCATCTACCCTGACACGTGGTCTTAAATGCAAAGAAATATGTGTATGTCAGAAAAAGGAAGCATCAGCAGTGGTTTTTTTTTTTTTCTGTATACAAACTATGTGTAACTCACTCTCCCAAGTGTCTCCAAAGAAAAAAGCAAAACCTCACAAAGAAATATTAAGTAGAATACCAGGTGCCCTACAACAATAAAAGTCCACCAGTCCAGGCTCTTATCTTCCCAGTAGACAAGAGGATAGTTTCATCCATCATTCACCCTCATGCCTACATGACATGAGAAACACACAAAAATTCCCCTGAAAGTGATCCTCTCTCAGGCCTCAGGGCTCAGCTTGTTTCTTCTTGCACTCCCAATTTCTCTGGTTTTCCACCACAGCTTCTCCTATAGCTATGTTTGCTCACCTGAGAACTTATATCTATTCTCTCCTTCCCTTTATTTGTATCATCTAAGCCCTGGCCCACTAACCAAACACTGATGACCTTCACTCTGTATAGTAGTTAAGGTTGTAAGTCAATTTGGCTGGGCCTAGTTGAGTGGCTGGGCAGCTGGTGGTAGTTATTCCCCAGAGTGAGACTGGTAATTAATTCATGGTGGAATCTACTGGAGCAGCTGAGTAGCTGCTTTAGGGATGTGGGCTGCTTCCAGTATATAAGAAGTAACTTTGAGGACGGTCTCTAGCTTTTTTGCACACTTGAACCCTGCATGTGGCTGAGTCTTCATTCAGTAGCCTGCCATGCTCTGCCAATCTTGGGACTTTTAATGGACTTGAATCAATGTAGTGTGGTAATATTGGGACTGTGCGATTTCACTTGTAGACCTTGGATTTGTCAGCCTCAGCAGCCAGCAGCTGTCTGAGTGAAGAAAGCCTCCAGCTTCAGTGGACTGGGAGCCAGAGGCAGAGCTGAAGCCCAAGGTTGAGGGGCTTTCACCCGACCCTTAGAGCCCTGCACTTTGAACTTGGACTTCTAGCCTCCAAAACGGTAAGAGAATAAACTTCTATTTGTTAATGCCACCAATTTATGGTATTTTTCTGTTAGAGCAGCACAGAGGTAACCAAAACACCCTGAATCTGCAGATAGGGTATCTGTAGTGTAACAACCCACTCTGCCTATTATGCGATCATGTCACAAGCACTGCCCAACAAACAGGGGAACTGCTCAATATAAACCCCCAAATTCTCATGCCCCACCAATTACAGAAGGCACAAAATACTTTACCCACTCACCTCAAATTGAAGAGAAAATTTATAGTCAGAGTCTTTGGCCATATCCTTGATGTAGGCATCAAAGTCATCCAGCTGAACCGGGCTTTGTCAAGCACAAAGAAAGGAATATTTTAAAAATCCTGTTGATATGTATTATGTATGTATTAAACCATAGAGATGGACAATTTTCTTGGAGAAACAGAAGGTTTACCTCTCAAGGGTTAGCATGCACTTTTTTCATGGTCAAAGTTATCAGTCTTTACATATTGTAATTGAAAAGAGGTACTTACATACCAAACTTTCTTGAGATGGGAGTTATCTCTAAATTTTCATTTTGCTCTTACTCTAGTAAGAGTAGAGACTCATACTATATTTATACACATGCATATGTGTTGTTTTTCTAGAAAACTCTGGCATATGAGAAATAAATGAAGGATTAGAATCCAAAGACTTGAGTTCTTGTTTACTTATTTTTTTGTGTGATCTTGGAGACTTAACTTTTCTGAGAGTCAGTGTTCTCATCTACAAAATACTATATTTATTCCTACCTCATAAGGTGTAGTGATAAACCACAATAAAGAATATATAAATTTAAGCAGTTTTACAAATACAAAGATTTGTACTAGTTGTACTGTTTCCCCAGAACAGAGGGAGGTCATTGAGGTGGTGCACTTGTCCAGAAACTCCCATGACTCAGTAAAAGTGAGCTATGCTTGCATTTCTCTGAACGCATAGATATGGCTCAGAGGTACAACTACCACATCAAAGTCTGTGTTTCTGCATCTGTAGCAGAACTCTGCACCTTTTTTTATTGTTGTTGTTTTGGTGAATAACAATTAAGTTTTATTTATTGTAGTTTTCTGTAGCTGCTTATCTCTTCTTGAGTCTACCTACTAACCTTCTCACTCTTAAGCTGCTCTCTGCTTCACTAGGGTGCTTTACTCTCATTAGCCTAAGATTTTCCACCTTGGCAGGGTCCACATATTAGACTTCTTCCTTCACCTTTGTTGCATGTTGGCTTGCCGACAGGTCCTACCACTCCCAGTTTCTACCAAAATTTTGCTTAGGTCTTGCTTCTCCTTGTTTCTTCCTGGGTCTTGTGAGGACCATGCCCTGATAGTCTCCTCCTTTTGCCCTGAATACTTTTCCTCTAACTAGTCTATACCTTTAGTTCCCTTAACAACTCAACGAATAATGTGTGAGCAGTAAAGTTTTTCTATCAAGTCTTTCTGTGCAGGTGAAAGTATCTCTCCTTTGTTTAGGTTAGCTTTGTATCTGCTAAGTTTTCTCTGATATCAGTCAATGTATACCACTGGAATAGATCAAAACTAGATTTAGGAAAAAGTGAATGATGGTATTTATGCATGCCATAAAATTCTATGTCACCCAAGGTATATGCACATCATGATTTCTCTCCATCAGCATGGATACAGTAGACCTGGCTGGAGTCTAATTGCCTCCTTGCATTAATTCACTGACATTCTATCCTAAGCGAGTATCAAAAATGAACTCTATTTATATGTTCCACTCTTTACATGAAGAGTTTTACCTAAGAAAAGACTTGTAGGTGATAAACTAATTAGGCTTTTGAAATCAACTGATCGTTAATTTTCACTTGCCAGAACCATAATTCTTACAATTTAACAGCTCAGTAGATAGTGAAACCACAGGCTAGCTAATTATCATTTTCTATTTGTTATAAATGTTTCCCGAGACAGCATTTCTTAGAGTATGTATTATAAAATAAAATAAAAGAATTAAACACAACATTATAAAATACAAGATGGCAAGGTTTTTGTACAACTTTGATGGTAGATTTCTGTAGAGTTAGAAATCCGTTGTGCAAAGCTACCATAATCCCTAACAACAATTCTATCTTCAATTTTGTCTTGTGAGAGTTTTTCTTCTCCCTGAGATGTTGTTTCTGTGATGCACAGTCTTATTTGTCCCTGTCGAACACACTAACTTGTACTGTGCTTAGCTATCATCCTAGGCATTTGCCTCTTTAAAAGGAACTAGCAAGTGAAACTTACTTAGTCAGTTTCCTCTTCTTTAAGCCGTTTTTACTCCTGAGAATTTTGAAAATAAAAGAAGAAAAATAAAAATATATCTTGAAAGAAAAAAATTGATTAACATTGTGTTTAAATTGAAAAGCTTTAAGTAGTTACATCAGATACCTCAGTTTTATTTAATTTTTATTGAATATAACTCAGGTTTGTTTAATTATTTTTCCTTAAATGATAATGATACTAATTTTCTTAAATGGTAATGATAATAATTTCAGATTCATTTTTAAACTTCTTCTAGATTTCAGGGAACGTACTACAATTTATATTTCATATACATATACACATATGTAAATGAGTTTTAGAGATACGATTTTTTAGTATTGGTTTTTAAATTGCTAAAATATTTTGTAAAAATAAGAAAGCATGTATTGCCTAAATATTCTAGATTATATGGGCAAAATGGAAATAAATGGAGAATTGAAGAATTCATGGTGAGAGGGGAGATATATTTTTTATTTAGACTAAAATATTCCTGACATTTTGGCTGGGGATGTGAATTTGTGCTATCAGTTTTGAAATGCATCATATGTAACTTTTATTATGAAATTGTTCCAACCTAATTTTCAACTAATTTTGAAGCTATTTGATTAATTGGACCTATTATTTGCTTGTTCTTAATTCGTTGCTAGTCTGTAAGTTCAAATACATGCAATGCTAAAGCATGTTTCAGTTGATAACATTTGTTTGAGGTATTTAGGGTAGTTCTTTCAGCCAGTTAGCAAGCTAACTGACCTAAGTTAGTTAATGAGAAGATAGGACCTTCTGAAACATTCTGTTATTGTGTGCATTTTTATCATCTTATATAAATGATAAATATTAATACCAGATTAAGTTTGAGTGAGATGACAATACACAATTTTTATAAGTAATTTTTAAAGATCTTTACATATTTTTAATGAGTGCACATAAATGTTCAGAAAATAAATAGTTTATAGTAAATAACAAGTTGTAATCTTAGTAATTTCATGAGCCAAAATATGTATTTGTATTCAAAATTATGAATGCTTGGATACTTCCACTTCCTAAAACCTCAGGAAGGATGAAGCACTTGCTTCCTCTATACTTTCAGAAGACTTTGATATTGGAGTATTTCTCACATTGTATTATTGTTACTTACATATATGCCCTTGCTAGATGGTGCTCCCCACTCTTATCCCAGGGCTGAGCATTGTTAATGAACGCATAGAGGATGGTCTATAGATGCATATTGAATTAAATGGAAACAAAATACCTTCAGTATTTCACTTAATGATTCAATTAAGAATTTGATACTCGGCTTGTGATACTGCACAGGGCTTGTGAGGTCCTGGTTGGGGAAATGGGACTTGTGGATGGGAAGGAAGTGATGCAAGGCAAGAAATGTAGGAACTATCCCAAAAGGCAAGTGTTGTTTCTTGTTTTCAAGTAGTTTTTATTTCTTCCCACTTCTGAGTGAAGGTCATCTATTTACTAGCTACTGTCTCTCTTTTTTTTTTTTTTTTTTTTTTTTTTTTGTTTTTCCTCTCTCTCTCTCTCTCATCCTCTTTGTTTTCCATGCTTAGGATTGAAAGGAATAGACATTCCGGTTTTTATCCTGTCTCTCCCTCACCCCATCTCCCCAAAAATCCAAAACACTTTACTGTTGTACATAACTGGATCACATAGACATTGGGAACTTAAAGAAATACCTATCATTATTTCACTCTGTGGAATTAGTTAACTTTAGGAATCCCAACATTTAGTTTGTTCAGTAGAAGCCTTTTTTTTTTTTTTTCTTTTTTTTTAATTACTGCTTTTGTGAAAGCTTAGGTACCTAACCGCTCTGGGAAAGTCAAGAGACTGCCAACATATTTTGTGATTGGGAGTGGAAAAAAAAAAAAAACCTATCTGTGCAGACTTTGGGGAAAACTGGGAAGAAACAAATGTCTGTGCGATGGTGACACTGAATAAATTCACTGCTGAAATATTAAGCTGCTACTATTCAACAGCTGTGAAGAAACCTGATTCATGCAGGAGAGATGCTTTTTTTCCTTTCCATTTCATTCACTGATTAAATGAACTTTAAATATAACAAATATTATATGTTTATAATATTTATGACAATACCACACACTTATTGTCATAAGTTTATCTCTTTATGATTTTTGTACAACTTGCATTGTTCTATTTAGATTTTGCTAAATTCCTAAAGATTCGGAAGGACTTTTATATCCTAAGGCTGTGGACCAGAGCTCCCTTTTTTTTGGTTTTTGGTTTAAGGCTCTGGAACATGACAAGACTGAGCTGTGGTAGTAACAATCATAGAATTTTCCCACCTATTCAATTGCTGTGCTCATTCTAAGACCAAAGTGAAAGAAAATTCATTTGTCAACATATAAGTTAATGCACTGTTAGCACTTTTATATAGAAAGAGCTAATTCGTGGGCATCTTATAGTGAAAATTTGGATGATGCTTAGGGCATCACCTTTCCATTGCAAACGTTGCTCTGAATAATGACACCCATCAAACAAATGGTATATATATATACAGGATCGGCATTTCTTTTAATATTTTTCTTTTACTTATATTAGGTAATGTTCAAAGCCTAATGACTTAAGTTAAGATGGATTTTATAAGTCCTTTATGACTATGATAAATCTTGGAAGCCAGCCAGACTGGAATTCATTCCAAAGAATATGAGGCAATGATGGAGATGTGGACTTTGTAACAGTTTAAAATACAAACAAGCAAAATACTAAAAAACCCCATTTCATAGGTGCTACTTACTCTTCCAGGAGCTAAATGGAAACCATTCCCAAATCTTATAAAGATCCTTAGGGTAATAACATTCTCCAAATAGAACATGCAATAATCATGAATAAAGCTGAGTATTTTAAGCTAAATGTTGCTTCATGCCTAAACTATCAACTACAGAGGATTTAGAACAGGCAGGTGAATAATGAAGGTGACTGTGGTAGTAAAAGAAGAGACTAATAACACTGAATTTAGTTAGATCTAGTTCAAATTAGATTGCTTTGAACGGGAAGCACAATCTAAGATCATTAAAGGGAGACATTCTTGCAGAATGCAATCCTGAGATGATGTGGGCACTGTCGCTCCACATTGATCCTACTATCACCCCAGGAAAAGATTTGAGCAACACTGAGAGAGAGAGAGAGAGAAAGAGAGAGAGTCTGTTGATTTCCACACAAAGGCACTGGAAGCAACAGGGGGATGTTAGAAATCAACAGGAGCGTACCTTTTCAACAAGAGTTTAGAGAAGCAGGCAGTGTGTCAGAAAGGGGTGTGTGAGCCTCTGTTTTTTGTTAACAGCATAGGTAAAAAATATGAAAATGGGGACATTTAAAGGAAGAATGAAAATGACTATTTAGCAAATGGAAGCAGGGGAAAATACCAAGACATTCTTGTGGTTGTTATGTGCCATTGAGTCGGCATTCCTAGTTGGTGCAAAGAGTAGCAAACAGAAGGAAATTTGAGTGTCTGTGTGAATACTCAGCTGTACTTGAAGGAGTTGTTAACTGTCTTTGAGTCACCTGGGTTCCTGAAGACTCCACTCCATGCGCAATGGAAGGAAACACTGCCCATTCCCATGATGGGTTGGGGGTTAGATCTTTGTGATTCATCGTTTTCATTAGCTAGATTTTGGAGGTAGATCACCAGGCCTTTCTACCTAGTCCCATCTTAGTCTAGAAGCTCCACTGAAGCCTGTTTATCGTCATAGCAACAAGCAATCCTCCACTGGACAGACAGTGGCTGCACATGAGATGCACTGGATGGGTATCTAACCTGCATGGGGCTCCCACTTGGAAGGAGAGAATTCTGCTATGGAAACCATCGGTGCCTAATGCTTGAAGGAGTAGGGACCGTGACTTTTGTTTCTTTATTTGGCATAGCACCAGCCTAAGGCTGAGAACATAGTTCAAGTTCAGTGTATTTTCATTGGTTGAAATGTGTGAAGTTTAGGGAAAGTGGTGGAAAGCCAGGGGACTTTAGCTTTTGCCTTCTCATCTCACCCAGAGACAAGCAGTTATGGTGACAGGACAATTCATCTAAAAGCAACTGAAGAATTTTCCCTAACCTTAGGTCTCAAGCTATTTGATCAGCACTAAAAATAGTGGATCATGAAGGGGTTACTGAAGTGGGAGGCTGGGTTCACCAAAGGGACCTATTCATAAGGAAATGGTAATAGGCATGTGGCCATCTGATATAAGCTGGAAAAACTAGCCAGGCAAGATAAGAAAACCTGAAAGAACTCAGTAGGAAAATGAACATAATATTATTTACCTGTTTCTTTTGTTTTAGTTGCAAATTGTGGAGGGTACTCTGATGGGTATTTGTTAGAAATACTCCAGTAGTAGGTAGGATATGGAAGGAAACACTGCCCACCCACAGGGTTGGCTGGAGTTCAACTATGTGATTCATAGGGTTTTTTATTAGGTGAGTAGATCACCAGGCCTTTCTATGTAGTCCATCTTAGCCTAGAAGCTCCACTGAAACCTGTTCAGCATCACAGCAAAATGCAAGAAGACAATTTAGAGAGGAAATGGAAAGCATATTAGGAAGGAGTGTGAGGGCTTCTGCCTTTTGCAGGATGATTAGTAGTTGATGTTGATTTAAAGGAAAATATGTTTTAAAGGTCAAAGTAGAATTTATGTGAGCTATTTAGCTCGACAAACACACTGCTGTCGAGTCGGATCCTACTCACAGTGACCCCTCCTTGGGTTTCTGAGGCAGTGTCACTACGGAAGTAGATTGCCCAACCTTCCTTCCGGGGAGTGGCTGGTGGGTTTGAGCCGCTAGTCTTCTGGTTAGCAGTCAAGTGCCTTAGGCACAACACTACCAGAGTTCCCTTATGTGAGTTACTTATACATGAAAACTATCTATGTTAAAAATTGAAAATACTGAGTTGACTATTGTGGCGCAGTATATTACTTGGTAGGGCTTTTCTAGCCAGTCTTTGTGACTCCCACTAGATTACTAGGTGGGACCATGCAAATATAGTGCATGGAACTCTAATGTGAGGATTGGTTAGTTTTGCTATGCTTCTGGGCTTAAAATGAGCCCTCTTAGGGGCAGAAGTGGGGATCTCACTGCCATCAAGAGAGAAGAGCTGGAGGTGAAGAGGAACACGTCCTTAGACCCAAGATCCCTGCGCTGGACCTCCTTGGCAGAGACACTCTGGCAGAGACATCCTGGCAGAGACGCCTGGCTACGAGACGGTGGCAATGGAAACAAGAGGCATGAGACAGAGTGGCGTCCTTGCTGGCCATCAAACGAAAAAGCTGAGTGCCTTGGGGCAGACCACTTGCTAGCATGTTGTTGTTGTTGTTATGTGCCATCGAGTCGTACCTGACTCATAGCGACCCCTCCTTGGGTTTCTGAGGCAGTATCACTATGGAAGTAGATTGCCCAACCTTCCTTCTGAGGAGTGGCTGGTGGGTTAGAACCGCCAGCCTTCTGGTTAGCAGTCAAGTGCCTTAGGCACTATGCTACCAGAGCTCCTACTTGCTAGCATAGTAGGGTGCAATTGGGTGTACCTATCGGCAGAGCTAAGAGCTTTGTAACACTTGCTGGAGCAGAGCAGAGGTTACTCCAAGAGGCCAAGGGCCAGGGATCCAGAGCAGAGGGAAAACTATCCTGATAGGAGTGTGTTCCTGAACCCAAATTGCAGCCTGTTACTTCCCTAATAAACCCTATAATTGTAAATATTGTCAGTGACTTCTGTGTGGCCATTGCAACGATAATTGCCATGGGAGGGACAATTGGTGTCAGAGTTGGTTAAAAGGGCTGGAGGGTGGCGGCATGTCTGGCCTCATAGGAATAAGCCTTGGGCTGCTGATGGTGATTCTGTCTCCTTGTGAAGTTAGAGGAAGTCAGAAGATGCCACCTACATGCCCTTTTTGCAACTATGGTGAAATCCTATACTGTTACAAAAAGCAAAATTAGAAAAACAGTGAATGGGTCTTCAGTGGTCTCCTAGTACATTCCTCTGACTCTTTTACTTATATATCATTGCCTATCTTGTTTCAAAAAATTTACCCTGGTCTCTACCTCCCCTTTTGTTGTAAAATACAAATTTAAAATGCAATCTCTATTATGAAGACGTCCTTTTTAATATATATTTTTTCCCAGTGAAATTTGAAGTCCTACATTTTGCCAACTGTAGTCTGTCCTCAGGGGAGCTAAAGAACATTTCATCAATTGTCTTTTTGAATAAATGACTCACCAGTTTGCTTTGCATCGTTTTTCTTCCCTGAGGGGACGTTAAATTTCTTTACATAATTTAGTACTTAACTCTCATGGATTAATATTTAGAGACAATGATTTCTTTGTTAGTTCTCCAGGAAACTGTGACCCTTTTTTCCTAAGGCTCAGGAAAAGAAATAGACCTTCTAGGTGCAGGGTTGTGGAGAGAACTAAATCAGATAATTATGCAAAGCCCTTTGCACATAGTCATTAAATATTCATTGAGTTATCATTATCATAAAAAACTTGAAGCCCCAAACACAGAGAATAGTTCTCTGGGTTCTTCTACCTTAATGCAGATTTGCCTTCCTGTAAATATGGAACTCTCCAATGGAGGAAGGAGGTAAGAAAAAGGGGAAGTATCATTGACGAAGATGGAGGCCAGTGGATTGATTCAAGGAGAAACAAATGACTGATTATCATCAGTCATTTGAGTGACTTTAATGGAAGAAAAGCTTGCCAAGAGCATCATAAGAAGAAAATAGGAAAAACACTATAGGTACCATCAACTGCTTTAATCCACTTCAATATATGATTAAAAAATTTAGATTCTGTCAAATATATAAAATATTTTTAAAGAAATATTTCTCTTGCTCTTTTTTTTTTTCTTTACTACTTGAAAGCTAACTTTTAAAGACTGTGTGATAGGTAAACAGTAAAAAATAAAGATCACTTACCAAGGATTAATATAAAATGCCAAAAGATAATCAGTCCAAAGACATGAGGGTAGCAGGGTTAAGAAAGCAAATATACTCCTACGCCTGTGAGCATTAATAGATAACAGATGCAAAGACGAAAAAGTGGTAAGAGTTAGTAATATAAATTGTGAATAAATATCAGTAAATTACCTACCAGGATAAATTAAAATGACAAGTACCTTAATTACAATTAAATATTACTCCATTCTGTGAAATTTAGATGTGAGTGCTTAAGTGCTATAATATTGACAAAATCAGTTTTATTCACACATGACTATATTGTAATCAGATTTACTTCTTTCAACTTATTTTGTGTCAATGAGTCTGCTATTTGGTGATTACATTTTGTATTCAGTTAAACGAGGCTCTTAAATGCCTCATTAGTTATCTTGATTTTTATTCTCGATATTACCCTTCCAATGCCTGTGCCCTATTTTAAGAAACCTCTACAACATCATTTGATAACTAAATAGCAGCCTGTGTGAGGAAATAGATGGTCAGTTTAGTATACTGGTTATGGTAAAGAGTGACTTAATGCTGCTTTAGGCTTTTCAGACACAGCCTTACAAAGCTGTATTACTACGTATGCCGTTCTGTACCATTTTTAGTTTATGTTAATACATTATTTCTAAATATAACCCCTTAAAACATAAGTATATATGGTGCTCAGTTCTCATTCTTTCAAAATAAGTAGCTCATCAACTGCTGGTCTGTAATCTTACTGATACTCGGCTGAGTGGAAGCAAAATTATTTGATTTCACTTTAATTCTAATTCAGACTGCTGATTTAAAATGTCTGGTTTGAATCTAATTTCAGATTTTCAAACCACTTGTAAAGTAGAACATTTATTAATGGAAATTTAAAAATAAGTTGTAGCTGCATCTTTAATTACTCTGAAATTTAGGAAAAATGCTGTCACCTTGTCACTTTAGTTATAACAACTCCCCACTGAGTTGTCTACTTTTGGCCAGAAAATGTTAATGCTGGTAAAAATGTCTTTTCCAAGAACTGCAGGAGAATTTATCTGATTTTATAGAAATGTCCTGAACTGAATTTTCCTTTGCTTCAGTTCTCCCATAACTGGTCCAGGTAGAATTAAATTCTATAAATTGTAACCAGTTATGTAGTCATAGCTCTCGTAAGTACAAGTCACTGGGTCAATTCCTAAATGGACCACTCCCCACTGCTCTCTCTGCTAGCGCTAGTCCTCGCTAGGGAGGACCAGGCAAGAAATAAGTATCTGTTGATCAGTAAGTCAGTATCCTAATCTTGGAATGTTGTTGTTGTTATGTGCCATAGAGTCTGGCTCAACTAATAGCAACCCCTCCTTGGTTTTCTGAGGCAGTATCACTGTGGAAGTAGATTGCCCAACCTTCCTTCTGAGGAGTGGCTGGTGGGTTTGAACCGCCAGCCTTCTGGTTAGCAGTCAAGTGCCTTAGGCACTATGCTACCCGAGCTCCTAATCTTGGAATAAGAGTGCTAATATATGTTTACAAAACTAGTAAGGTTTCCTAACTTCTCACCATCAAGAATTTAATGAACTTCTCTTCTTTCACAGTTAGACTATTTAATAACATTTAAAAATATTATTTTAATAACAGAAATCTATTCAGGTTAAAAAAAAAAAAAATCTACCATACTGTCTTGTTAAAAAGAATCCTGCTTCAATTAGAGCCCAGCCAGAGAAGTGTTTTGAATAAAGCCCTACTTCCCTTGTTGATTCTGTGAAATTTCCAGTCCCATGTATCTTTTTTTTTTTTAAGATTGGCCATTGTTTGGTGGGTTAGAAAATTCTTACCAAGAATTAACATAAAATGTATACATTCAGGGGCAGATTACCAAATATAAAGAAGGTAAGCATGGGCTTACTTGTGCTTACTTATTAATCTGTAGTGAACAATTTCACATAAAAGATATGGTAAAAAAAAAAAAAGTGAAACTGTTCACTACAGGTTAGTGAGTAAGCACAAATAAGCTTGTGCTTACTGGGTACTCTGGTCCAGTAAAACAAAAACTAAAAAAAAAAAAACCAAACTCACTGCCTCCTTGGGTTTCTGAGGCAGGATCTCTATGGAAGTAGATTGCCCAACCTTTCTTCTAAGGAGTGGCTGATGGGTTTGAACCACCAGACTTCTGGTTAGCAGTCAAATGCCTTAGGCACTGTACCATGAGAACTCCCTTCAGGGGTTGTAAATTTGATAAGAGGCTTTGATTTTATAGGAAGATCTTATGGGGTTGGGAGAAAGACAGAGGCCAGCCATATCTAGAAGCAGACTCTTTGATATGGTGAAAAAATGTGAAAATGTTCATTACAGATCAGTAAGTAAGCACCAGCAAGCCCATGATGACCTTGCTTATTGGGTAATCACACACTGTATGTTTAAATGTACTTTGCAAGGTTGCTTACAAAAGTCACAAACTAGACTATGTAAGTAATGCTGTTTTAATATTAAATGTTTACTTACTTAGCAATTTTGTTGGGTATTGATTTAACAGTTTAGACTTAATTCTCATGTGTCTTTGTTAGGTGTAAAAACAACCAAACCAAACCCACTGCCATGGAGTTGATTCGAAGGCTGTAAATCTTTAGTGAAGTAGATTGCCTCATCTTCCTCCCACCACGCAATTGATGGGTTTGAATCTTAGACCTTGTGGTTAGCAGCCAAATGCCTTACTCACTATGCCACCAGAGCTCACTTGTTAGGTATAGTGCCAACCAATTTAATCTCTTCACAATACTATCTTAATTACCAAAATACCTCCTCCCAGGTTCTTAATATTTAAAGCATGAAGAAAAATGAGGCCATGTTTTCTCATAGGAGTTTCCTGTATTTGAAACTTATTTACCTTAAGTATAAGAGTAGAACTCACTGCCCATATATGTCTACTTAATTTTTGAACAGTAGTGGTGACTCATATCCCCAGGCACCGAGATGTGAATTTTAGATAGCATCACTGCTCTGTCTCTTCAATGGAGTGTCTCCTGGTACCCTCAGCCACCACTTGTTTGGTGTGGCTCCTGCATTTTAGCCCATCTTTGCTACAGTTACCAGCTGTAGTTACCAGTTATTTACATGACTGCTTTAGTCTTTTGTTTAATATAGTAAATACAGAGCAGACTACAACATTTCTTCCATTTCTGTATGGTATTAAACTTACATAAACTATTATAATCTGTAAAGAAGGTGCAACCTTTGAAAGTTCATTGTCAAAGGAAAATCAGGCTAAGCAAATTATCCCCAAAAGATGTTAAATTTGGAGTACATGCCGCCGAGCTAACCTATCTTGAGGCATGTTTTAAAACACTACTCACCAGTTGTAAGGAAGCTTGCCATCCCTCTCTAATGATGCAAAATTGACAAATGTGCCAGCTCCACATTCCCTGTTTGAAGAAACCACAATGTTAAAGTTACTGCTTGACAGAGCACTCTTTTACCTTGACATAAAGCAAAATGTTTACTGGCTTATAATCACAGCATGAAATTATAAAATGTACTGAAAACAAGAAAAATAGCTAATATAAATTCCATAATAGCTAATGTAAGAAACAGTAAAAACAAAAACAAAACAAAACAAAAAACAATTTTTTACAATTTGCCCACATCCAAATCAAGTTATTTGAGGCCAAATAGGATTCGGTTCACAATCTTTTCCAAATAGCATTCATGACCCTACATTAAATCTTTGAACTAGTTGGGGTATAACATATCTATATAAATCTAACTCACTGCCATCGAGTTGGATCTGACTCATAGAGACCCCTCCTTGGGTTTTTGAGGCAGTATCACTACAGAAGTAGATTGCCCAACCTTCCTTCTGAGGAGTGGCTGGTGCGTTTGAACCACCAGCCTTCTGGTTAGCAGTCAAATG